AGCCGCAAGCGTAGTCTTCAGTGTGTCGTGCCACTCACGCGGTGCCTGGCGGAGACCGTAGACTGGCCGCCGGAGGCTCCACTAGGTGCCAGGAGGAAAAGTCCCAGTGAAGCCAGGTGGGCGGCGCAGCCAGATCTCCTCGTGCAGGCTACCCTGCAAGAAAGCAGTGCTGAAGTCAAGAGAGTGAAGCTCGTAGTCGCGCTGAGCGGCTATGTGCAGCAGCACCCGAAGAGTGGTCATCTTCAGGGTGGGAGAGAAGGTCTGAAAGTAGTCAACTCCCTGCCGCTGACTGAAACCACGAGCCACGTACCGTGCCTTGAAGACAGGCGGGGAGCCCGGCGGCCGCTTCACCCTGAAAATCCACATGCCACTGACGATGTTCGCCCCAGGTGGGGGAACCTCGTCAACGTAGGTGCCTGTGGACTTCCAGGAAGCCATCTCTGCGTCCATAGCTGCCTGCCACTGAGAGGAGTAGGGACCCTCTATCGCCTCCGCGTAAGAGCGCGGAGTTGGGATGTCAAGTGCATCCGGGTCTCCCTCAAGGGTAAGCAGTACGGACACGAGATGAGGTGAAGCAGCAGCCAGACACTCGAACTCCTACTGCCTGTCCTCAAGGACGTCCGTGCCAAGGGCACACTCACCCCCGACGGACGGAGGACAGACAGACTCAGACTCAGCGACAAAACAAGCAGCGTAGTCTAGACGACAGCGAGCAGCAAAGTCGACGAGCTCAGTAACTGGAGCAGACGCAGCAGTGGACTTAAAGGAAGGGTCAGTGACAACAGTAGCAAGGAGACGCGTGACAGTAGGACTGGCAGCACGAAGAGAGTCCGACTCCGGGTCGGGAAGAGCAGGAAGAGAAGACTCAGGAGGAGAAGGCAAAGGTGCACGCAGAGGAGCAGTGGACGGACGTAGAGACATCCGGTGCGTGCCAGGGACAGGAGGAGGACGCTGACGCGAACCGCGACCACTAGTGCGAGCAGCACAGACAGGCGACGCAGGGCGAGACGCAGGCTCACGACGCTCAGCAACACATCTAGTAGGACCAGTGTAGGGAGACGGAGTAGGCAGTGGGGAGGCCGGCTGTAACTGTAACTGTGACGGGACAGGCTGCGGACACTCGAAGGGAGGAGGAGGAGGACGAGTAGAAGGCGAAAGACAAAGAACCTGCTGAAGGAGCGGAACGAAGTACGGGCGAGGCCGCGCGGCGACTTCAGACAGAACAGGGACAGCACCAGCACCCCCAGCGGCAGCACCAGTACCAGCAGCACCTCCAGCTCCAGTACCTCCAGCAGCACCAGTAGTACCCCAAGCAGGACCGCCTCCAGGACCGACAGAAGTAGCCTCCGCGCCAACCCCCGCAGCAGCTCCAACTCCTGAAGTACCCGCAGGCTCAGCAGCTCGAGTACTCCCAGTACAAGCACCTCCGGGACCCGCGGCACCAGCACCCTCAGCAGCAGCAGAAACTCCAGTACCCGCAGCACCTCCAGCTCCAGCAGCTCGCCTCCAGCGCCGGGCAAACGACTCACGCAGCTCCTGTGGAGAGAGTGGCTATCGGCGAGACGAAGTACCCGGAGAGCCGCCAAGCACAGCACCAGCAGGCTCAGCTCCCTCAAGCTCCGCACCTCCAAGCGTAGCACCCCCAGGCTCAGCATCCCGAGACTCAGTACCCCCAGGCTCAGCACCCCCAGTCATAGTACCCTCAAGCTCAGCACCCCCAGACGTAGCACCCCCAGGCTCACCACCCTCTAGGCTCAGCACCCCTAGTAGTAGCACCCCCAGGCTCAGCACCCCCAGTAGTACCACCCTCAGACTCAGCACCCCCAGGCGTAGCACCCACACGCTCAGCACCCCCAGAGTCAGCACCCCCAGGCTCAGCACCCTCAGCAGCACCAGAGTCACCAGTAACCTCGACAGGCTCGACTGCGTCTACCTGGGACACACCTGAAGGGGCAAGACCCTGAGGGAGAAGCCAAGGAAGACGCAAGGAGCAGCACGAGGGGACAGCTTGTCCGCAGACAAGTTGCGGACAAACGCCCAAGATCCCCAGACACGGAACGCAGACGCATCGCCAACCTTCCCCGTCCACAGCAAAGCTGGGGAGGTCTCCGGCATGGAGACCCTGGGGTGAAGGTTGATCTGATGCGCCGCGTACCGGACCGCAAACGGCCACAGAAAATGGGGGGCAGCCGCATGCATCATGGACGTACGAGCGACGTCCATGAGCATGCCAATGCGGCGCTCAGCAATCCCATTTTGCTGTGGAGAGTCCGGAAGCGTTAAGGTCTGGCGGATGCCTCGTGCACGACAGTAGGCTCGTAGAAGGCCAGAGGAGAACTCTCCGCCTCTGTCAGAGTGCAGACGCAGAACAGGAAAGTCCGAGCCAAAGCTCCGCCTGAGCTGGAGACGAGCTGCGCGGATCCAGTCGATCATCACCTCAGTGACATCACCCTTGCTACGCAAGGGGAAGACTGTGGTGTAACGCGAGTAGTCGTCAACCACCAGCAGGAAGTAGCGCTCGTGACCCTGTCCACGGACGCGGGCTGGGCCCCACACGTCCATGTGAAGCGTCTGCAGCGGGGCCTCTGTGAGAACTTGGGAGGAGTGAGGGGCAGCGCGCTACCGCCCCTCGACACAGGGGACGCAGGTGGGGCCAGGCCCTGGAGGAAGGGGAGAGAGGGACCGGGGAAGACCAGAGACAAGGAAACGGGAGGCCATGCTTCGGAGACGAAGCAGGGAGGTGTGACCAAGGCGGCTGTGCCACAGGAGAGTCTCGTGAGACAGGAGGCGACACGAGCAGGGGGCAGACCCAGGACCAGACCTGGACGCTGCAGCAAACACCTGACGCGACGCACTTTGAGCGAACAGTGGCGTCGGCAGTGGCAGCAGGGGCAGGGGAAGCACCAGAGGTGAGGTCAAAGAGGGAGAGACTGTCTGCCCTATCGCACTGTAGGAAAAGCTGCAGGTCATCTACCCAGACGTCAAAGTCAATGGCCCGACCCTCAGCGTCAAAAGTGAGAACACTGGGGGTAGCCATGACAGCAGTAGACTAGCAGTGCTAACTGTAGAGCAGGGGCAGTGCAGGGACAGAAGCACTGCTCTCACCAGACAGGGCGGTTCGGGCAGCTCGGGCGGCTCGGCAGCAACTGCGGCTCGGCGGCACCCGCGGCTCGGCTCCTCAGCTGCTCAGGCGGCTCGGGTGGCTCGGGCGGCTCGGGCGGTTCGGGTGGCTCGGGGGGCTCGGTCGGCTTGAGCGGAACGGGCGGCTCGGGCTGCTCAGCGGCGCGGGCGGCTCGGCTGCGTAGGCGGCTCGGGCGGTAGGGGACGAGGCCGGGACCGCCGGTAGTGCGCCGAGGCCGCAGGTAGGGCGGCGGGGCCGTTGGTAGGGCGGCGGGGCTGGGGCCGTAGGTAGGGCGACGGGGCCGGGTCGAAGGTAGGGCGACGGGGCCGGTACGCAGGTAGGGCGACGGGGCCAGGGCCGGTATGCAGGTAGGGCGACGGGGACGGGGCCGGGGTCGCAAGTAGGGCGACGGGGCCAGGGCCGGGGCGCAGGTAGGGCGACGGGGCTAGGGCCGGGGCCGCAGGTGTGGCGACGGGGCCAGGGTCGCAGGTGGGGCGACGGGGCCGGGGTCGCAGGTAGGGCGAAGGGGCTGGGGCGCAGGTAGGGCGACGGGGCCGGGGCGCAGGTAGGGCGACGGGGCCGGGGTCGGAGGTGGGGCGACGGGGCCGGGGTCGCAAGCAGGGCGACGGGGCCGGGGCCGTGGCGCAGGTAGGGCGACGGGGCTAGGGCCGGGCCGCCGGTATGGCGACGGGGCCAGGGTCGCAGGTGGGGCGACGGGGCCGGGGTCGCAGGTAGGGCGACGGGGCCAGGGCGCAGGTAGGGCGACGGGGCCGGGGCGCAGGTAGGGCGACGGGGCCGGGGCGCAGGTAGGGCGACGGGGCCGGGGCGCAGGTAGGGCGACGGGGCCGAGGCGCAGGTAGGGCGACGGGGTCGCTAGGGCAACGAATCAGGGGCCGCTAAGGCGGCGCAACTTGGCCGCTAGGGCGGCTCGACGAAGTCAGAGAGGGGAGCGCGACTCGGGCTGAGCGCGCTCCGGGCAGGAAAAAAAAAACTTTCGACTTGGTGGGCCCTAGGCAGAGTTCCCACGAGGGAACCTGCTCGATACCATGAGAAAACTGAAACGAGAATGATTGAACTATGAATGAATCGGGTACAAGTACTAACCCTAATTGGGTTGTACCCCTTATCGTCTACCCCACTATAGCCTACACGATATGCATAAGCTATAATCTTCTGACAGTCGCCTGAATCGTCAACGGTACACGTCAACGCCGTCACCATGAAACGGGCTGTGTCAAACTTATATGCTATAGTCTGTTGTTAAACTCATATTATATAGCTTCTGTAGGCTATAGTGGGGTAGACACTATGGGGTACACTTTCCTAGGGTTTCCTACTTGTACCCAACCTTGTGCTAGTTCATTCATTCCTCATTCTTAACATGGTATAGAGCAGGTTCCCTAGTGGGAACGCTTCCTTGGGCCCACCACTGAAAACTTCCTTTCTGACCAGAGCGCCAGTCGCTCCTGCCCGAGGCGCGCCTTTTTGCCGCCCTTTCCAGGCCCCTAGTGGCCCCTAGCGGCCTCGTCCCCGCCCCTAGTGGCCCCGTTACCGCCCCTACGCGGCCCCGTTGCCGCCCTTAGCGGCCTCGTCGCCGCCCCTAGCGGCCCCGTTGCCGCCTCTCACCCTACGCGGCCCCGTCGCCGCCCCTACGCGGCCCCGTCGCCGCCCCTCCGCGGCCCCGTCGCCGCCCTTAGCGGCCCCATCGCCGCCCCTAGTGGCCCCGTCGCCGCCTCTCACCCTACGCGGCCCCGTCGCCGCCCCTCCGCGGCCCCGTCGCCGCCCCTCCGCGGCCCCGTCGCCGCCCTTCGCGGCCCCGTCGCCACCCCTAGCGGCCCAGTCGTCGCCTCTCACCCTACGCGGCCCCGTCGCCGCCCATATGCGGCCCCGTCGCCGCCCATACGCGGCCCCGTCGCCGCCACTAGCGGCCCCGTCGCCGCCCCCCCCCCCCCCTAGCGGCCCCGTCGCCGCCTCTCACCCTAAGCAGCCCCGTCACCGCCCCTAAGCGGCCCCGTTGCCGCCCCTACGCGGCCCTATTGCCGCCTCTAAGCGGCCCTGTCGCCGCCACTACACGGCCCCGTCGCCGCTCCCCTCTCTAAGCGGCCCCGTCGCCGCCCCTAACGGCCGCAACGCCGCCCCTACCGGGCAGCCCAGCAGCAAAGCCGCCGAGCCGCCCAACAGCCGGGCCGCCCAGCCACCGAGCAGCCGAGCAGCCGAGCCGCCGAGCCGCCAAGCAGCCGAGCAGCCGAACCGCCGAGCCGCCCAGCGGCCGAGCCGCCTAGCAGCCGAGCCGCCCAGCCGCCGAGCCGCCCAGCAGCCGAGCCGCCCACCAGCGAGCCGCTGAGCAGCCGAGCCGCCCTGCAGTCAAGCCGCTCCACGTCCTACCGACGCGCCCCTGCCCTTCTTACTCCGACTGGTGAGCTCACTCCTTGCTAGGCCACTGCAGTCATGGCTACCCCCAGTATTCTTACCTTTGATACTGAGGGTCGTGTTGTTGACTTTGAGGTCTGGGTCGATCACCTCTAGCTATTCCTCCAGTGCGATAGGGCAGACGGCCTCTCCCTGTTTGACCTCACCTCGAGTGCCTCCCCTGCCCTGCCTGCCACTGCAGACAGCACTGTTCGCTCACAGTGGGCGACACGCGATGCTGCTGCCCATCTTGCTGTGCATCGCCACTTACCGACCACTGAGCGTGCGCACTTTAGCCAGTACAAGAGTGCTCAGACCTTGTACGACGCTGTAGTTGCACGCTACTCTTCCCCTGCCACTGCTGCACTGAGCCGCCTCATGCTACTGTACCTCTTCCCTGACCTTGCTGCCTTTCCCACAGTCGCTGACCTCATTGGGCACCTCCGCACTAGTGACACTCGCTACCGCACTCCACTTCCCACTGAGTTCTGCGCCAAGAACCCCCCCACCATGTACATCACCCTCCACTACATAGTCACCCGGATCCCTGACTCTCTTTGCTTAGTCAGGGACCACTTCCTCTCAGTTTGCCCGACCACACTCACCATTGACGTCCTCGAGGAGCGCCTCCTAGCAGCAGAGAAGAGCATAGTCGCTGTAGGAGCCTCTCGTGGTGACCCTCGCACCCCCTTCTTTGAGGGGTGTTCCCCCTCCCCCCTCTTGCCCTCTGTTGCTTCTGCTGCTGCTGCCGACCTCGTTGGTTTCTACGGGGTCGGCGCTGCGTCTGCCCCTAGCGGGAGACGCCGCACCGGCAAGGGCAAGGGGGGCAAGGGAGCTGGAGGGACTAGCGGGGGCAGTGGAGGTGGTAGTGGAGGCAGTGGAGGGGGTGGGGGTGGTGGTGGGAGTGGTGGCGGGGGTGGCGGCGGCGGTGGGAGCAGTGGAGGCGGAGGAGGCGGCGGTGGTGGCGGAGGGAGCGGAGGCGGCGGAGGTGGCGGAGGTGGCGGAGGTGGCGCAGGCGGCGGAGGCGGCGACGGCGGCGGCGGTGGAGCTGGTCGCGACTCTGCGCAGAGGAGTGGGTCCGGTGGTGGTCCGCGCCAGCAGCAGCAGCGCGGTCGTAAGACCCTGTCCCCTCAGCAGCTTCGTGAGTGGTACGCTGCGCGTCAGCGCGGTGGGGGTAATGGTCTCTGCACCTACGTCCTCCGTATCGGCGACCACGCTGGTGAGCAGTGCGGGGGCCCGCACTCCACCCAGCACTGCTTCGGCCGCCTTACGGACGCGTGGCGTCACCAGTTCCCTGAGGCGTCAGAGATCTCTCGCTGGGGAGATCTGTCTAGGGCGGGGTTTGCCATCTTGCATCTTGACTATGATGCTATCCTTGACGCCATGTATGCTGTGACTACTAGTGTTGAGGGTGACTGTTACCTGTGTGTACCGCCTGACCCGGGCATTGAGGCTACTGCTCTAGGTGCTGGTGAGGCTGCTGCTCTAGGTGCTAGTGCGTCTGCTGCCCCAGGTACTAGTGCGTCTGCTGCCCCAGGTGCTGGTGAGTCTGCTCTCTCAGGTACTACGTCAGCTCAGGCCTTACACACCTTCACCCTTGACTCGGGTGCGTCGAGCTCCTTCTTTCGAGACCGCACCACGCTTACGCCGCTTAGTCGGCAGGTTGAAGTCTCCCTGGCGGACCCCTCTGGGGGTCCTGTCCTTGCTAGCTTCTCCACTGTCTTACCGTGCCCAGCAGCCCCCTCTGGCACCCTGTCAGGTCTCTACCTCCCCTCGTTCTCTACGAACTTGGTGAGTGGAGCGGACCTACAGGATAGGGGGGTTGACCAGTTCACTCCTGCGAGTCAGCGGGTGACCCACTGCACGTGTGCTCGGACAGGCCGACACTTGGCCACGTTCACCCGTCGGCCAGGGTCGAGCCTGTACACACTTAGTACCGAGTCTCCTCCGGTTGCTGAGTCTGGTCTCCCCCGGTCTCTCCCTCCCCTACCTCGGGGGCCTGGCCCTACCTGCGTCCCCTGCGTCAAGGGGCGACAGGGCGCTGCCCCTCACTCCTCCGAGTTTCCTACGACAGAGGCTCCGCTGCAGACTCTTGACATGGACGTGTGGGGCCCCGCCCGCGTCCGTGGACAGGGGCACGAGCGTTACTTCCTGTTGGTGGTTGACGACTACTTGCGCTGCAAGGGTGACGTCACTGAGGTGTTGATCGACCGGATCTGCGCATCTCGTCTCGAGCTCAATGAGAGTTTCGGCTCGGACTTTCCTGTTCTGCGTCTGCACTCTGACCGAGGTGGGGAGTTTTCCTCTGCCCGTCTAGGAGCCTTCTGTCATGCACAGGGCATCCGCCAGACCTTCACGCTTCCGGCCTCTCCACAGCAAAATGGGATTGCTGAGCGCCGCATTGGCATGGTCATGGACGTCGCTCGTACGCCCATGATGCATGCGGCTGCCCCTCATTTTCTGTGGCCGTTTGCGGTTCAGTACGCCGCGCATCAGCTCAACCTTCAGCCCCGGGTCTCCTTGCCAGAGACCCCCCCCACCTTGCAGTGGACGGGGAAGGTTGGCGATCCGTCTGCGTTTCGGGTCTGGGGATCTCGGGCGTTTGTCCGCAACTTGTTTGCGGACAAGCTGTCCCCCCGTGCTGTCCCCTGCGTCTTCCTTGGCTTCCCCCCTGACGCGCCTGGTTGGCAGTTTTACCACCCCACCTCGCGCCGTGTTCTGTCCTCCCAGCACGTCACCTTTGACTAGTCAGTACCTTACTACCGTCTCTTCCCCTACCGCACTGCGCCCCTTCCCCCGCCTGTGAAGCAAGGAAAACAGGAATGAAATGACTAAGTCAGAGTTGGGTACAAATACAACCCTAGAAAGCTGTACCCCACATGTGCTACCCCACTATAGCCTACAAACATGCATCAGCTATAATACTCTGACACACCCCCATAGGCAAAGTGGGGGAGAACAAGGGGTCACAAGACCAGTCAAGCAAAGCAAAGCAAAGCAAGCTCAGGGTGGATCACAAAGTCACCACACAGTCCGAGCACAAGAGCAGGGCCAGAGGCCAGTTCACATGGAGGAGTACAGACATATATATAAAACTAGACAAGCAGGAGCAGGTATATATATGTCACAGAACAAGTAAAGTCAAGAAGAGAGCAAGTGAGGCAAGACAGGCACAAGACCCAGCTGGGTGCAGAAGCGCTGATGGTCACAAGGCGCGAGTGCCTTGGTGAACACATCAGCAGTGTTGGCCTCAGAGGCCACGTACGCAAGTCGCAACTGACCACGCTGCTGCAGCTCACGAGCAAGGAAGTAGCGGAGAGCAATGTGCTTCGTTCTGTGCTCCAAGCGCTGCTCTCGACACAAGGCAAGCATGGCCTTGTTGTCTACGTACAGCACTGGAGGAGAACGAGGCGGCTCTCCAAGGTCAGTCAGCAGGTAGGTGAGCCAGCGAAGCTCCTGTGCAGCCATGGCCCCAGCGTAGATCTCAGCCTCACAACTCGAGCTGAGAACCGAAGACGAGCGAGTAGACCGCCACGAGACAGAGCCGGAACCAAGGCTAAAGGTGTAATCCTGTGACGACCGCTGCGTAGCCTGGTCGTCAGCCCAAGAAGCGTCCGCGTGCCCTGTAAGGACCACTGGACTCCGCCCTCCAAGCACTAGCCCCATGCCCGACGTACTGCACAGGTAGCGCAACACCCTCTTCGCTGCAGCCATGTGCTCTGGTCGGTGTCTCCCAGGAGCAACATAGCGTGCAAGAATGCTCAGAGGGTATGCAAGGTCAGGTCGTGTGCAGGACATCAGGTACATGAGGCAGCCAACAAGCTCTGGGTACGGGCCACTCGACTCTAGGGACTCATCCGAAGGCAGAGCTGAGAGCGAGTGGCGAGTAGACAGAGGAGTGGCCTGAGGCGAGGAGTACGTGAAGCCGAAGCGCTGAAGGACCTGCTGCACCATGTGTGACTGAGTCAAGGTAATGGTGCGGCGTGCTCTGTCCCGAGTGATCTGCAAGCCAAGGTAGCTGCGCAGTTCACCCAGGTCTGTGCACGTGTGTCTCTTCAGCAGCTCGGACTTCACGTAGGCGAGTCCAGCAGTGTCCGCTGTTGCAAAGACCAAGTCGTCGACGTACACGAGGATGTAGAACGGCGGCAGAGAAGTGTCGGTGCGCAGAAACAGCGACGGGTCAGCAGTAGAAGGAGCAAACCCAAGAGCCGCAAGCGTAGTCCTCAGTGTGTCGTGCCACTCACGCGGTGCCTGGCGGAGACCGTAGACTGGCCGTCGGAGGCTCCACTGGGTGCCAGGAGGGAAAGTCCCAGTGAAGCCAGGTGGACGGCGAAGCCAGATCTCCTCGTGCAGGCTACCCTGCAAGAACGCAGTGCTGAAGTCGAGAGAGTGAAGCTCGTAGTCGCGCTGAGCGGCTATGTGCAGCAGCACCCGAAGAGTAGTCATCTTCGGGGTGGGAGAGAAGGTCTGAAAGTAGTCAACTCCCTGCCGCTGACTGAAGCCACGAGCAACGTACCGTGCCTTGAAGACAGGTGGAGAGCCCGGCGGCCGCTTCACCCTGAAGATCCACATGCCACTGACGATGTTCGCCCCAGGAGGGGGAACTGCGTCAACGTAGGTGCCTGTGGACTTCCAGGAAGCCATCTCTGCATCCATAGCTGCCTGCCACTGAGAGGAGTAGGGACCCTCTACGGCCTCCGCGTAAGAACGCGGAGTCGGGATGTCTAGTGCATCCGGGTCTCCCTCAGGGGCAAGCAGTACAGACGCGAGATGAGGTGAAGCAGCCGCTAGACACTGTAACTCCTCCTGCCTGTCCTCTAGGACGTCCGTGCCAAGAGCACACTCACCCCCGACGGACGGAGGACAGACAGACGCAGACTCAGCAACAAGACTAGCAGCGTAGTCGAGACGGCAGCGAGCAGCAAAGTCGACGAGCTCAGCGACAAGGGCAGACGCAGCAGTGGACTCAAACGAGGGGTCAGTGACGACAGTAGCAAGGAGACGCGTGACAGTAGGATTGGCAGCACGAAGAGAGTCCGACTCAGGGTCGGCAAGCGCAGGAAGAGAGGACTCAGGAGGAGAAGGCAAAGGGGCACGCAGAGGAGCAGTGGACGGACGCAAAGACATCCGGTGCGTGCCAGGGACAGGAGGAGGACGCTGACGCGAACTGCGACCACTAGCGCGAGCAGCACGAACAGGCGACGCGGGACGAGACGCAGGCTCACGACGCTCAGCAAGACCTCCAGTAGGACCAGTGTAAGGAGAGGGAGCAGGCAGTGGAGAGGAAAGCTCCAGCAGGGACTGCGACTGGACAGGCGGTGGACCCTCTACTAGAGGAGAAAGACGAAGAACCTGCTGCAGGAGCGGAACGAAGTACGGCCGAGGCCGCGCGGCAGCTCCAGACTCAGCAGGGACAGCACCACCACCCTCAGCGACAGCACCAGCGCCACCCACACCTCCAGCGGCAGGACCAACAGCAGTAGGCTCAGCACCAACGCCCTCAGCAGCTCCAGCTCCAGGAGGACCCGCAGGTCCAGCAGCTCCGGGACCGGCAGCACCCGCACCCTCGACGGTCGAAGAAGCTCCAGCTCCAGCTCCAGTAGCACCTCCAGACTCAGCAGCACGCCTTCAGCGGCGAGCGAACCACTCGCGCAGCTCCTGTGGAGAGAGGGGTTCCCGGCGAGACGCAGCAGCAGGAGAAACCCCAGGCTCAGCAGCTCCAGACGCAGCACCCCCAGGCTCAGCAGCTCCCAGCTCAGCACCCCCAGGCTCAGCAGCTCCCGACCCAGCACCCCCAGACCCAGCACCTCCAGGCACAGCACCCCCCGGCTCAGCACCCCCAGGCTCCGCACCCTCCGCAGTAGCACCCTCAGGCCCAGCACCCCCAGCAGTAGCACCCCCAGGCTCAGCACCCCCGCGCACAGCACCCCCAGAGTCAGCACCCCCAGGCTCAGCACCCGCAGCAGCACCAGAGTCACCAGTAACCTCGACCGGGGCAACGGCGTCTACCTGGGACACACCTGAGGGGGCAGGAACCTGAGGGGGGAGGGGGTCTACCGGGGGGGGAACCGGCACAAGGAAGTCCGGGGGAGGGGGGAGGGAAGGAGTGCGGTAGGGGAAGAGACGGTAGAAGGGGACTGACTCGTCGAACGTGACGTCCTGGGAGGACAGAACACGACGAGAGGAGGGGTGGTAAAACTGCCACCCTGGGGCGTCAGTGGGGAAGCCAAGGAAGACACAGGGAGCAGCACGAGGGGACAGCTTGTCCGCAGACAAGTCGCGGACAAACGCCCGAGATCCCCAGACACGGAACACAGACGCATCGCCAACCTTCCCCGTCCACAGCAAGGCTGGGGACATCGCAGGCCGAGAGACCCGGAGGTGAAGGTTGAGCTGATGCGCCGCGTACCTCACCGCAAACGGCCACAGAAAATGGGGGGCAGCCGCATGCATCATGGACGTACGAGCGACATCCATGACCATGCCAATGCGGCGCTCAGCAATCCCATTTTGCTGTGGTGAGTCCGGAAGCGTGAAGGTCTGGCGGATCCCCCGTGCACGACAGTAGTCCCGCAGAAGGCGAAAAGAGAACTCTCCGCCTCTGTCCGAGTGCAGACGCAGAACAGGAAAGTCCGAGCCGAAGCTCTTCCTGAGCTGGAGACGAGCCTCGCGGATCCAGTCGATCAGCACCTCAGTGACCGCACCCTTGCTGCGCAAGGGGAGGACTGTGGTGTAACGCGAGTAGTCGTCAACCACCAACAGGAAGTAGCGCTCGTAACCCTGCCCACGGACGGGGGCTGGGCCCCACACATCCATG